CTTTTCTAAAGTGTGAAAGCAAGATAGTATTTTTATTTTTAATATTACTTTAAAACTTTATAATACCCACAATTTTCATAGTTTATAGGGGTATCATCTTTGTTGGATATGCATAAACGTTAATGAAAACTTATAGCCTCCCTAAAATCATAATCTTGTTGATTTGCTTGTTTTATGAAGGTGGTTGTTGCTTAAATTTCAGTTGTATTTAGCAACTACTGATGATGGAATTGGATCTACCAGAAAGCATTATTTCTGCAGGAATGTAAAAATAAACTGGCAATTTCTCCCTAAAATACAATCTACAGAAGAAAGGAGACTCCTATACATGAACTCCTGAGTGTCATCCTACTTTAAGGCACGCTTTTCTCCAATTCTTTGCTTAAACCAAATTCCTGGTTCAAGAAGAGCATTGTCAATCTGTAATTGGGACAACTGCAAGCTTCCACATTTCCCAAAATAACCTGACACTATTTTACCAGTGTTTTCAGTATCTCTTTTCCTTTTCTTTTATCCCCTTTCTTCTCTACCACCATTTTCCTTTGCTTCATTTCTGAAAGGCCTTGTTCTTAGGTAACTGTCATGATTCTCCTTGGGAACTTAGCTGTTAAAGACAATATAGTGGAATGCTGGAGCCAAACTGCTGTGAGAGATAACAACTAAATATTCACCAATTTTTCTAGCAGACTGTTCCACCTATGGCAACTTGAAATGGCCATTTAGGGAGTATTTACACCATGGACACTGGCAAGCATTATTAACAACTTTCCATGGAAGCTGGTTTATCAGCATGTCACTGGGTACGCTCCTTAGGAAACCTTGCATTTTCACTAGGTACTTCTGAAAATACTAAGATCCAAAATGAATTCCCATGGCTGGGATTTCTTACACAGGAATAAACAATGGAAAAATCATTAGAAGCAATTTCCAAGTGTTAACCATACGGTCAAACAACCATTTTGCAGAAAGCCAGCTCTACTGATGTGGTTAGGAGATGTGGTGGGAAGTTATAAACCTTTGAAAAAGGCGTCACCTTTCTGGGCCAAGAAAGATTCTCAAGGACATACTTACATAAGACAATCCTACAGCACCTGGGCTGCCTCTAACAATGACTCACTGAATCAGACTGTTAAGTATTTTCAGAGTTAATGACCAATGCAAAGAATGAAGTATCCCAGTGGACCATGCCCCTTAAAAAGAACAAAGGACTGCATGTCTCCCCAGAGGGTCTGAAGATAACTTAGCCTATACACTGAAAAACTAAATTTACCAAAAGAAAGTCAATTAAATTATCTAGTAGTTTTCAAAACTATATGTCCTAATATTCTACTATGACCTTAAAAAATCAAAACTGCTGAACTAGTGGTTAAAGAAAAGGCCAAGCTTAGTTACCTAAGTATATCAAACTGCATTTATTCATAGTCCTAGAATATTATCTTTAAAAGGAGGAACTGATTAATGGTACTTAATATAAATTAGTTATTTTTTCCAGGTATATTTTTTACCCTTTTTCTTTTATTCCCTTTGAATATTGATTGCATGCCTACTGTGTACCAGACACTATCTTAGTTATAAAGATGAATAACTTCTGTCTTACACTGTGTTTCAGAAGACTCTGTACATTTTAAAAGTATATAATTAAGAAAGCACTATTCAAAAGCATCAAAGAGATCCTACCAGTAAAACACAGAGCATTTACATTCTGATTTGTTTACTGTACTTGGAATGTAACATTTGAAAACTGTAACCTTTCAGTTTTCACAAAAATAGTCTCTCCCAGCTTCTCAAACAAGATATTTACTTTTAAGGCCAGGCATAGTAGCTCATGCCTGTAATCCTAGCACTCTGGGACGCGAAGGAGGGTGGATTGCCTGAGCTCAAGAGTTCGAGACCAGCCTGAGTAAGAATGAGACCTGGGCTCAGCGCCCATAACTCAGTGGTTAGGGTGTCAGCCACATACACCAAAGCTGGTGGGTTCAAACCCAGCCTGGGCCTGCTAAACAACAATGACATGTGCAACAACAAAAAATAGCTGGGCGTTATGGCGGG